ATGTGTTGCTGAATTCTGTTTTTCCATTTCATTCTACAATTTCATTGGTTGCTCTTGCCGAGTTAAATTTTTCTGGACTTTAATTTTGAAACTACACAAGCTATAAACTCCAAACAGATAAACTGATTCATGGAAAATAAAGTGAAATGTCCTAGATTTAGAATTAAAAGAAGGTCACTTACTGGAAATATTAACTGTTTCTCCCTTTCTCTCTCCCAAAATACAACTTGATCTGTTCAGAATTTCCAGAACACATTGAGCCAAGAAATTTTGCTTAAAAACATTTAGTCATGGAGAAAACACATAGCAAAGAGACTTCCTGTGGCATGTTACGGACACTTCTAAATATTCTTAAGAACTTTATAGTCAGATATTTAAATTGCATTTCGAACTTTTTTTATACATTTGTGGGATGTGGGTGTTGCTGGCTGGCTGAATTTCTGAAGAAGGGTCTCGGCCCGAAACATCAACCTTCCTGCTCCTCTGATGCTGCTTGGCCTGCTGTGTTCATCCAGCTCTACACCTTGTTATCTCAGATTCTCCAGCATCTGCAGTTCCTACTATCTCTGGAAGAAACTTGATTTGGCTGTGGATGAAAGAGTAGAAAGTCCCAACACTAACAATGTACAAATAAAACAAACCACATTAAGTCTCTAAAAGTCTCAAACAGTTCAAACCTTTGCATTACCACATACCTGGAGCAGAAACCATGATCTGACATCTAGTGAGGATGGCAAGCAAGAAGTCATTGTGGGAATGCACTGGAAAGGAAAATGATTGTTTCTTTTAGCATTACCTTAACAACACTGTCGAGGATAAACGTGAATGTCAAAGCAAATATCAAGTGGTTACAGAAGATTCACTGTTACTTAAATTGTATGTCATGGAGTAGTCAAAGAACTTGGAGGCAACTTTTGATTTCTATTCTGGCTTGACCATATCTTAAAAGTAATAGCAGTTCTTCCATCAAATGTGTAACCAATTTATAGAAGCAGTGTATCAAATGACTGCCTTGAAGAATTATTCATGCACATCCCAGATCCAACATTTGTAATTCCATTTGCTTATTCTTTAACTACCTTCTGTCTTTCACTCTCAAAACCTGTTATTATAAATGTATTTTTAATGCATTTCTCCCAAACTTTACTTGTTTAACCCAGCTTCTCCCCAAAATTTTCCTCTGCCTTTCAGTTATTTCAATGATTGAGATCAATCTACGGTGCGGAGATGCCCTGTGGTATTTTCACTTGACTATTAATTCAGAAACTCAGCTAATGTTCTGGGCACCGGGGTCTGAATCCCACCATGGCAGATGGTGGAATTTGAATTCAATAAAAAATAAATGTGGCGTTAAGAATCTACTAATGGCCAGTAAACTATTGACAAATGTCGAAAATTGGGTTATTACGGGAAAACATGGAAAAACTCATGCGCTTCAGGGAAGGGCATCTGCCATTCTCACCTGGGTCTAGCCTACCCGTGACCCCAGACTCTCAAATCCCCTCTGAAATGGCCTAGCAAGCCATTCAGTTGTATCAATCGCTACAAAGTCTCAAAGAAATGAAACTGGATGGAAAAAACAATGGCAGAAACAGCCTTGTTCACACTGCAAAGTCCTCCTTACTAACATCTGAAGGCTAGTGCCAAAATTAGGAGAGCTGTCTCACAGACCTGTCAAGCAACAAACTGACAAGAGTATACTTAAAGAATCATACCTTATAGACAATGCCCCAGACACCACCATCACCATCACTGGATATATCCTGTCTCACTGGCAGGACAGACCTAGCAGAGGTTGCAGCACAGCGGTATACAGTCAGGAGGGAGTTGCCCTGGGAGTCCTCAGCATTGACTCTGGACCCCACGAAGTCTCATGGTTTCAGGTTATACATGGGCAAGGAAACCTCCTGCTGATTATCACATAACATACTCCCTTGGCTGATGAATCGGTACTCTACTTTGAGCAACACCTGGAGGAGACACTGAGGATGGCAATGGCACAAAACGTACTCTGGGTGGGAGATTTCCATGTTCATCACCAATTGTGGCTCAGCAGCAGTACTACTGATCGAGTTGGTCAGAATCTAAAGGACATAGCTGCTAGATTGGGTCTGCGGCAGGTGGTGAGGGAACCAACAAGAGGAAAAAACATTCTTGATCTCATCCTTACCAAACTGCCAACTGCAGATGCATCTGTCCATGACAGTATTGGTAACAGTGACCACCACACAGTCCTCGTGGAGAAAAAGTCCTGTCTTCACATTGAGAACACCCTTCCTCATGTTGTATAACACTATCACCATGCTAAATGGACAAGCTTCGAACAGATCTAGCAACTCAGGACTGGGCCATCAACAGCAGCTGAATTGTACTCCAGCACAATCTGCAACCTCATGGCCCGGCATATCCCCCACTCAACCATTACCAGGCGATCAAACTTGCTTCATTTGGGTAGTGTGAGTGAGCATGCCAGGAGCAGTACCAGGCTTACTTGAAAATGAGGTGTCAACCTGGTGAAGCCACTAAACTGGACTACTTGCACGCCAAATAGCATAAGCAGCAATTGATAGACACAGCCAAGTGATCCCACAACCAACGGATCAGATCTAAGCTCTGCGGTCCTGCCACATTCAGTCAAGAAGGGTGGTTGACAGTTAAACAACTCACATCAAAAGCAGGACAAATCCAACGGGCCAATTACCATCCCATGAGTCTACTCTCTATCATCAGTAAAGTGATGGAAGGTGTCATCAACAATGCTATCAAGCAGCACTTGCTCAGCAATAACCAGCTCAGTGATGCCCAGTTTGGGTTCCAACAGGGCCACTCAGCTACTAACCTCATTACAGCCTTGGTTCAAACATGGACAAAATGGAGAGTGACAGCCCTATCATCAAGACTGCATTCAATCGAGTGTGGCGTCAAGGAGCCCTGGCAAAACTGGAATCAATGTGTATCAGGAAGCAAACTCTCCGGTGGTTGGCGTCATACCTGGCAGATTGGAAGAAGGTCATGGCTGTTGGAGGTCAGTCATCTCAGCTCCAGGACATCTCTGCAGGCGTTCCTCAAGCTGGTGACTCAAGTCCAACTATCTTCAGCTGCTTCATCAATGATCTTCCCTCCATCATAAGGTTAGAAGTGGGGATGTTCACCGACGATTGCACAATGTTCAGCATGATTTACAACTCCACAGATACTGAAGCAGCCCGTGTTCAAGTGCAACAAGATCTGGACAACCTCTAGGCTCAGGCTGACAAGTGGCAAGTAATATTCACGCCATACAAATGCCAGACAATGACAATCTAACCAATTCCCCTTGACATTAAATGGTGTTACCGTGACTGAATCCACCACTATCAACATCCTGGGGGGTTACCATTGACCAGAACTCAACTGGACTTGCCTTATAAACACTGCGGCTACAAAAATAATTGAAGGGCCTTCAGTAGCGTTGTAGAACAGAGGGACCTAGGGTTGCAGGTTCATAATTCTTTGTAATTTGCATCACATATAGACAGGGTTTTAAAAAAAAACGTTTGGTACGCTTGCCTTCACTGCTCAGTCCTTTAAGTATAGGAGTTGAGATGTTATATGGAAGTTGTACAGGACATTGGTGAGGCCTCTTCTGGAATACAGTGTCCAGTTCTGGTTGCCCAGTTATAGGAAGGATATTATCAAGCTGGAGAGGCTTCAGAAGAGATTTACCAAGTAGTTGCTGGGTATGGAAGTTTTGAGTTACAAAGAAATGCTGGATAGGCTAGCACTTTTTTCACTGGAGCGTAGGAGATTGAGAGGTGACCTAATAGAAGTTTATAAAATATTGACAGGCATAGGTAGATTTAATGGTAGTTGTCTTTTCCCTAAGATGGGTGATTTCAAGACAAGGGGGCCACATTTGTAAGGTGAGAGGAAAGAGATTTAAAAAAGACATGAGGGGCAAATTTTTTATACAGTGGGTGGTTCACGTGTGGAATGAACTTCCTGAGGAAGTGGTGGATGCGGGTACAATTACAATGTTTAAAATACATTTGGATAAGTACATGAATAAGAAGGTTTGGAGGGAAATCGGCCAGGAGCAGACAGGTGGGACTAGTTTAGTTTAGGATTATGTTCAGCATGCATTAGTTAGACCAAAGGGTCTGTTTCCACGCTGTATGACTCTATTAGAGCAGGTCAGAGGCTAGGAATACTGCAGCGTGTAACTTACCTCCTGACTCCCCAAAGCCTGTCCACCATCTACAAGGCACAAGTCAGGAGTATGATGAAATACTCCCCGCTTGCCCGGATGGGTGCTGCTCCAACAACACTCAAGAAGCTTGACATCCAAGACAAAGCAGCCCACTTGATTGGCACCACATCCACATGCATCCACTCCCTCCACCACCAATGCTCAGTAGCAGCAATGTGTACTATATACAAGATGCACTGTAGAAATTCACCAAAGATCCTTAGACAGCACCTTCCAAACCCACAACCACTTCCATCTAGAAGGACAAGGGCAGTAGATACATGGGAACAAAACCATCTTCAAGTTCTCTTCCAAGTCACTCACCATCCTGACTTGGAAATATATCACTATTCATTCACGGTCACTGGATCAAAATCCTGGAATTCCTTCCCTAATGGCACACTGCAGCAGTTCAAGGCAGCTCACCACCACCTTCTCAAGGGCAACTAGGGACAGGTAATAAATGCTAGCCCAGCCAGAGACAACTACATCCCACAAGCGAATTAAAAAAAATTCCCTCCCACTAACTTCCCACTTTGGATATTCCTAAAGCTGCCATGGCAAAGCACTGCCCTGTGGGGTCACTATGCACTCCTAAGTTTCCAATAAAGGGCATCTGGTCCTGGCTCATTTGATCTCTGACTCGAGCCACATTCAGGCTCAAAATGCCTCATTCACTCATTCCATGCCGTATCATGTGCCAAATGTTCCTCAGTTAAACATATAATGGTTGTTCAGAAGTTTACTTTTACTGGAGAATGCTGGAGAAACCAAGATTATGCACCATATCTTGCTGGAAAAAATAACAACACATTAATGATTCACATTGTTATAAATGTGCAAATCAGCAAGTTAAGGAACCAGGACATACAACTTGAGGTCCAAATCTCCACAAATGACAGGACAACAGTTACCAGGAGACTTGTCTCCCAATCACCCCCATCTCCTCAACAATATCCAATCAGTCTTTTGTACACGATAATGACATTTGGTTGGGAGGAATTTACCAACTCCACTTTGATTATCTTCATCGATTCTATAAATCACTCAAGCCAGAAAAATCTAAACTCTTTAAATGTTCTGGTTAGAGACTGGTTGTCCAGTTCATTTCTCATCAGCTTTTTAACAAACTTAGCGAACCTTTGAAAACATAAATGTGTAGGACGCACAACTAACAGTCCAATCACAGTGGAAAAAGGCTTTTATGCTGTTCCTATTTCACAACACCTGTCATGACAATTTGGCCTCAGTCCTTCTAAGCTACTGTTTCTCCAAAACCACAGAACAAGAGTAGTGTAAAAATTCAGTCCTGGATGTGATTCACAGCAACAATAGCAGATTCCAACACAGCAGGAACTGATTCATTTCGCAAGAGACAGCATGACGTACACAATTAATGGTAGGGTTGTCAAAAAGACAGACTGTGGGGTTTAAGTACATTGTTCTTTGAAAGTTGCATCACAGGTAGACATGGGGGTTAAGGCGGCATGTGGCACACTTGCTTTCATTGCTCAGATCTGAGTTAAGTAGTTGGGACATCAGGTTGAGGTTGTACAGCACATTGGTAAGACCACTTTTGGTATACTGGGTACAGTTCTGGTCACCTTGTTATAGGAAGATTATTATTAAATCGGAGAAGGTGCCGAAAAGATTTACCACGATGTTGCTGAAACTGGAGGGTTCCAGTATAAGGATAGGCTGGGACTTTTTTTCACTGGAGCGCAGGAGGTTCAGGGGTGTCCTTATAGAAGTTTATAAAATCACGAAGGGCATGGATAAGGTGAACAGCAAAGGTCTTTTCCCTCAGGTGGGGGAGTTCAAAACTAGGGAATAAATTTTTAAGGCAAGAAAAGAAAGATTTAAAAAGGACCTGAGGGGCAATTTTTTCACGCAGAGTGGTTCGAATGTCAAAGGAAGCGGTAGATGCAAGTCGTTACAACATTTGAAAGACAGATAGATAAATATATGACCAGGAAAGGTTTAGAGGGATATGGGACAAATGCAGGCAAGTGGGACTAGTTTCGCTTGGGAAACTTGCTCAGCATAGATGAGTTGGACCGAAGGGTTGGTTTCCATGCTGTACAACTGTATAACTTAATAGCATGGCGAACGATAGAGACAATCAACACAGCCCTAACCCCAAACAATCTAAAAATCAAAGTAGTAAACGAGACTCGGCCCAGTTGAGATTCTATCCCAACTCTTTGAGCATACTCAAACGGCAGGATCCAATTCCTCAATGGCATCTGTGGACTTCTCCGGAACTTTCAATCACAGCAATGATTGGATTGCCATCTCAAAACTCCCGCAAATATGAGTCAATTCATCTCATTTCTGGGAAATGTGACAGTGTGTTATGTTTACCACTAAAGTACTGAAGTGGACACGTGTGCACGCTAGAAACCTCCATGGAGCTAAGATGTGCTCCACTGTGATCCTGATGATGAGCAATGATGCTGGCTGCAGAGGGACTGAGAGCAAGATTCAAACCTTTGACTATGTCACCGAAGTGATAGTTTTTGAAGAGCACAGGAGTAACACGAACTGTTTTTGAGCAAGCTCACAGTTGGTCTGCATTGAACAGAATATGCCTTAACTCCCAAAAAAAAGTGAGATTTTTGACATCTATTTCCCTCTAAACAACTGGCTGTTCCCAATCTGATATGGAATAACATCACAATCCAATCTCATCACAGTATCCAACAGCATATTATCCAGGTAGATCCGTACAAGGTTTGGAAACTGAAATGCTATTCCCTCTCAAGGGACATTTATGTAAACATTTTCAATCTTTTGTTGGGACCATATTGGAATACTGGGAAACCTATATGATTGAGTGGACTCATAAACAGAAATATAAAGCCATTGAAAATGTTCAATCATGACCTTGTAGAGTCAATTGTTTACTCGGATTACCATAATGACTGCGGTTGTTTCGTTCGCCGAGCTGGTCAGTGTCTGGGTAATGAAACATCTGCAAACTAACGGACCAGCTCGGCGAACGAACCAACCTCAGCTTCAACAACCCGAGCTACAAATCTACTCAAGAACCTTAGATATCATAATGACTCGGAGGTCTTACAAGATTGTCGTCAGGGGTTACTCAGGAACAGATGTGATCAACTTTGCTCCTCTTTCAGGAGATCACAGCCACACCCCAAACCAATCTCTTAGCAGCTACCAGTTATGGAACTTAAAATGACAGAATTAAGTTGGAAGACGACAAAAAGTATAGCCCAATGCCATTTCTCAAACTCACAAAGTACAAACTCTAATGATTCTTAAGTCTAGAACCTTGAAATAAAGTTCAGAACCCTAATTAAATATATTATTTTAGTCAGTGTTTTTAACTGATTGCAATTTAGCCCTTGGCCACAGAAGTTGATTTTTAAACATATAAATCTTTGATGAAATAAAATGCAACTTGTTGTCTCAGGTTTTGTACTTGCCAATTCATACGTTCTCCTTTATGGGAATGATTTGAAGACACTCCCTGTATTTATGGGGTAAATGCTGAGCTACCAAGAGTGCCTAACATCGCCCTTCTAGTAACCTGCAAGCTCTGACAATGAGGAAAAACAATTAATTAGAGGCAAGTTCTGAATTGGTTCATTGCATCTCCCTACTCGATCTACACATTTTCCACAGTTGGGGAGTTTAAGACCATCCCACAAAGGTAACTGCACCTTGAAGTGCATCTCAAGTGGAAGGAAACTTGCACTTGAAAATGAGTAAGCTGACTGCAGAACCACCTTTGCGTATGCCTTAGCAATCACAAAATCTGTATATCTGTTAGGTCGTTGATCTTACCATTGTCCTGAGTAAGGAGTCTCCTTGCTTCCACATCAAATTCCTCTTTGCTTATTTTTTGCTTGAACCAAAGTTTCAGGTTTGCCCAATATCTGACAAAGAAACAGGTGATGAAGTGAAACTTATTTTTGCACCCAGCGATTAGAATCTGAAATCTACTTGAAAGCATGATTCAATTGTGACTTGTAAACAAGTATCGCGTAAACATTTGGAGAGAGAAAATTAGAGACACCAAACATACAACCAAAGCATTAACTTCATTCAGAGAGCAATATTAAGGAGAATATTACTGAAGAGAGACAATATTCTATTCGGTTAAAGTTAAGAAACAATTGAGATGCAATTACACTACTGGATGTATAACATAGGACAATCTACTGTGGGAAAGATGTAAAGGAGCAAATTTGCAGGTATATTACAGAGATTTCTAAGAACCATGCAATCATGACAATGCACAACTTTAATTATTACACTATACAGTGGGCTAGAAACAGTATTGGCAGGTTCACCAACACCTGAAAGAGATCATAATTTGTACAAAGAAGGCTGACTAAATGTTTTATAAGACCTTATGACATAGGAGCAGAAATAAGGCCATTTGGCCCATCGAGTCTGCTCTGCCATTCAATCATGGCTGATAAGTTTCTCAACCCCATTCTCCTGCTTTCTCCCCGTAACCCTTGATCCCGTTGACAATCAAAAGCCTATCTCTGTCTTAAATATACAAAATGTCTTGGCCTCCACAGCCTTCTGCGGCAATGAATTCCATTTTATGGAAGAGATCAAGACCCTAAGAAGGGTCTTGAAGGACAGAAAGAACAAAAAAGGCAGAAAAAGGTGAAGCCTGAGCAGCTTAAAACAACTGACGGAAGAGCTTGAGGCAAGTAAAGGAGGTGGGAGTGCAAAGGTGGCCAAAGAAACAGAAAATTGATTGGAGCTAGGAGTGACTGGGGATAGTGAGACCTTAGAAATGAGAATTTTAAATCTGACAGATCAGATGTAATGAAGATTGGCAAGAATAGGGGCAGAGATGAGTGAAGCTGTGTGTAGGTCAGAAACTAATCAGCCAAATTTGGATAAGCTGACGTTTACGGAGAGTATTGGATGGACCAGTGGAATACAGATGTGACAAAGGCACAACTCAAAGTCTGGACAGCAGCTAGGTTCAGGCAGGGATGGAGGTTGGTAGTTTGTTGCACTGGAGTTGGTATCGGAAGCACAACTGTGACCAGACTGTTTGCAATTTCAACATTCCAGCTCTTCAGGCTTGGTAGGTACAGGGACAAAATACTGACAAACATACAATGGTTGTGGAGAGATTAGCAGTGGGTTGAGCTTTCACATGCATTTAGATGGACAATACTGCAGTCTATACATATGAAAGGGTCTTATAGTACTGTGGTAGCGTCCCTACCTATGGGGCAGAAGGTCTGGGTTCAAGTTCCACCTTCAGGAGGACTCTCGAATAAAACTAAGAACTACTGGAAATCTGGAACAAAAGCAGATATTGCTGGAGAAACTCAGAGCCAGTTGATGAACAGGCCCTGGTCCTGAAACATTGAGTCTGTTTTCTCTCCACAGATGCTGCCAGACTTCCTGAGTTTCTCCAGCAATTTCTTATTCTTAGTTCAGGAGAGCTCTTGCGGTGCATTGGTAATGTCCCTACCTCTGATTTAGGAGGCCTAGCTTCAAGTCCCACCTTCTCTAGAGGTGTGTAATAACATCTCTTAACAGGTTGATTAGAAAGTATCTACACGAAAGGTCATTCTTAAGCAACGCACTTTACACTAAAACATCTATCATAACTCAATTCTTTTAGGCTATCAGAAGCAAGGTCAACCATGTTTAAAGATAGCCACACATCAAGGCATTTGGCTTAAAAATGTAGTGATAACTCTTTCCCAGAATAAAAGTTAAATGTTTTTAATATCACATCAAAGCATTGAGTCTCAATGTCAACAAATTTATACTTAAATAATAGACGAAGTGAGGGGGTGGGGGAGAGAGAGGTGCCAGTAAAATCACTTAGTTTCATTGCAACCTTTTTGTGAAACAAAATTTCCTCCTTATCTTGAGTTTTAGTAGGTTTTGCAAATGAAAACCTTGGAAATTGACATTCACAAAATGCAATGAAGCCTTGCTTAATAAAATATGCCTCTTCATTATTTTAGAACGAAGGATAGGGACAAACAAACAGTAACACTGATAACTGTACGAAGAAGTACGGAACAAAAACTGTCTTTATTCGTGTACATTCGCGATGTCTACAACAAAACCCCCGCCTTTCAGCCAACCTGCCCGACCAAAGAGATAAATGAACACAGAATGAATGTCTCTGTGTAAATGCGGACAGCGGCCTTTAGGCAGCTGTTTAGTGGAGGTTATCCCAGTCAGAGAGCTCACTGTCCGAGCTGGGTTTGCAGGCCCAGGCCCAGGCCCAGGCCCAGGCCCCTCACTCACTGTTTCACATTCTCGCCTAACGCCTCCGTCAACGTCTTCTTCGCCGCCTCCAGTTCGCTGACGTGAGTCGCCATGTCCGGAAAGAGGCCCTGAATTCTGCTCAGCCTCGGCAACCGGTTTCATACAACAACCCCCAACCGCACCAGCGTCACCTCCCAGCTCACTACCACCCGGCCCATCCAGTCCGGGGTACTCCCACGATCAGCCCAGTCCTACAGCCACCAACGCGAAGCTTGGAGGACCCGTCCCCCAGCCCCGCCTCGCCCCCTGCTGGCCGGGAGGACCAGCTCAGCCTCCACCCCTCCCCCTCGGCCGGACTGGAGGACCAGTTTCCAGCCTCGCCCCCTGCCGGCCTCGAGGACCAGTTCGCAGCCCCGCCGCGAGGAACATAGAAAGATTCATGGCCCTGGACAGACGGCACCAACTGGACAGAGGAGGATCTAGAGGATACTGTTGAGCATTATGAAAGTATCCAGCCCTTTGTGTGCACTTACATAGAAATATGTCCAGTTATGTAATGCTTCTCCTGTCATTAAGACCTGAAAATCCTTCCCTGAAAGTCCTTGTCGAAGTGTACTCGCTGCTGTCCTAAGAAACAATTTACAAACAGTATTATCTTTGATCCCTCCAGGTCATTGCCAAGGAGCAGGTCAATCCCATCATACAGCAATGAGATACATGAATGCAATGAGATAGATGATCAGACTTTTAGTTTTACTTGCAGGACAAATGTTGGCCAAGACACTGGGGAGAGCTTGCAGCACTTCTTCAGATATTAGCAGGGAATCCTCAGTTAAAAGTTCATTAGAGTGACCAGATAGGATCTTTGTTGATCTCCTGCATTGAGAGACATGTGGCCTGTTCAACCCTGCTTTGCCATTCAATAAGATCACGTCTGACCTTCCACTCGTTTGGTGTGCGTGCTGGAAGTTTTTCCCAGATTTGCCCGATACACCTGCTGGTTTCCGAGGATGATGGTGGCAGGCTGAGTGCCACTTCAGTGCAGGCAGGAGGGTTATGTGAAGGGCTTGTAATATTCCACTATCGGAGGCAAAATGAGGACGATGGGCCAAGATTTAAGGAAAGGATGAAAGAGAGCTAGAGGGAAAAATCTGTCAGCAGCTGAAGTTTTGAATGAACTATCAGTAGAACCCACACATTCCTGTTTTGATATAGAATGGGGAGTTATGCTGCTGTTTCTAAATTTGTAGCCCCACACAGTACGAATCCTAAATGTGTGATGTGGTCTAAATCGGTCACTTGAGCCTTCATGGCTCAGTCTTTGGAAGATCGATGCCTCGTTCAACTGATGTAATTTCCCGAAGAGATTTTAAATCTGTTTGCCAGATGTGCACTAGGAGGTTGACTAGGAGCACTACTCAATTAGGTAAGGCTGCCACTATCTGGTTCATCAGCCTTTGAAAGGTGGCTGGTGTATTTCGGAGTCCAAATAGAATGGTTTGACTCTGGCGTGAACCATCCAGAGATACAAAGGTGATGATTTCCTTTGCAAATGGAGTCAACAGAACCTGTCAGTACCCCTTGAGTAAATCTATCTCGGTAATATAGACTACTTTAGATACCCTATCTATGCAATCCGACAGCCAGGCTATTGGATAGGTGTCTGCTCTGATCATGCATCAACTTTCTCCCTGATCTAATGTCTCAATCAGATATTCACTTCCTCAGGTTTCTTGGCTCCTCAGTATCAGCCTCTGAACTGAGCCTTTAAGGGTTCACCTGGTATTAGTAAAGCGTGAACATATAGTCTCTTGGCTGAAAGGTTCAGACCCTGGCATGTTGGCTGCCTTTTGAATGTTTGGGAGATTTTCAAATGTTCTTTGGCCACTTCACAAGCTCACGGGAGTCAGTCTTTGAAATCTGCTCTGCGGCCTAACATATGGACTTCCTCCAGTTCCAGAATTTCTTAATCAACATGTTCAGAGAAGGTATTATACATCTCCGGAGCAGACAGGATTTGAACCCAGGTCTCCTGGCTCAGAGACAAGGGCATTACCACAATGCTGCAAGACCCCTCTTCATTCTGTCCTAAATATTTTTTGTAATCAACCTGTCAGTGGCTGTCACTGCACACCTCTGGAGAGAATGGGATTTGAACTTAGAGCTCCTGGACCAGAGGTAGGAACAGTACCACTGCACCACAAGAGACCGCCTCATTCTGTTCCAAAGTTCTCTCCTTGATTAGTTTCAGAGGCCCTTAAACTTGACCCATAGATTATATCAGATGTATACCCAGTGGACTCATTAGTTGAAGTCCCACACGGCAAACAGAAAAACATCTAGTCCTTCAAGCACCTCTGAAACCAATCAAGGTGAGAGGGGAAAGATGTAAAAAGGACCTGAGGGGTAACTTTTCCATTCAAAAGGTGGTGTGTGCACAGAACGAGCTGCCAGAGGGACCAGTGGATGCAGGTAAAATTACAACATTTAAAAAGGATCTGGATGGGTAAATGAATAGGAGGGTTTTAGAGGGATATGTGCTAAGTGCTCACAAAGTGGAACTTTGGGATGTCTGGTTGGCGTGGACGAGTTGGACCGAAGAGTCTGTTTCCATGCTCTATGACTGTATAAGTGCCTTGCTAAATCTTTTACCTATTTGAGGAACAAAACATTTAAATCCTCAAAGGTAACTTCTCCTAATTCTGCCAGGAATGTACTTGATTGAATGCAAACATTTCTATCCTCTAGCAATGGAAACTCAAGGAAGCCTTTTGCAGTTTTTTTCTCTTTAAAATTTGTTTCAAGTTGACAATTTACCCACACTAACTCTTTGTTTCATCTGTGGATTCAAATCATGACAAGCGTCCCCAATTCATTCTCCAGTTCATTACTGTTCCTGATGGGATACCCCAAACTTTTCAGCTCCTACATGAGGAGGGATGTGCTGACTCCCCTTTTTTTTCACGCACCCACTCAGTTGGTTGAAACAGGGTTAATTTAGAATGGAATCCTTCCCTCATGCCATAGCTTTCTCCCAGACATAAATAGATATAAATTACTGTGATATAGCTGTGGCACACTGGCTCAGTGGTTAGCACTGCTACTTTACAGCACCAGGGACCTGGCTTTGATTCCAGCTTTGGGTAACTGTGTGGAGTTCGCACGTTCTCCCCATGGTGCTCTGGTTTCCGCCCACAGTACAAAGATATGCAGGTTAGGTGAATTGGCCATGGAATATGGGGATTGGGTAGGGGGCCAGGGTTGGGTGGGAATCTCTTTGGAGGGTCAGTGCAGGTTCAATGGGCCAATTGGCCTCTCTCTGCATTTAAGGGATTCTAAGGCAAAACAGAAATATGGGCTTTTCAACAATCCAAATGAAAGAACCAATTTAATAATGTTTTCTTAAAATAACAAAAAGAGAGAGTTTATTAATTACTAAAAGTGAGAAAAATTGGTAAGGCAATACAGATACATATTTTTTAAATAAGAGATGAGTCAAAATACAAATTAGAAACAGATATCATCATCAACCTCTGCATTAATCGCAAAGAGCAGATAGTTGGACATTACAGCTGTGCAGTGGAGATTACCGGTAGCATTGATTCCGATAGTTAAACAGTTGATTTTTGAGATTCTTGGTTTCTGAGGCTGATTGCAAATTTTTGTCCTGGCACCTTTTTTAACTGTTGCAGCACTTGGAGTGCAAAAGGGTCTTTACATGCAACTCAGTGGTGACTCAAGCTAGTTCTTCAACAGTGCCCTTCACAGCAGGGTAATGCTTAAACACAGGCTGGTACACACCGAAACATTCTGTCCCACTAGCCTGCTCCATTAGAGTTGAAACTGAGCTTTCTAATCCTAGTTCTTGTGTATTCATCCAAGGAAAAACACAAAATAAGCCTGCCATTTTGCTCAGAGTCCACAAGGCCTGTTTTGTTGTTTTGCAGGGAGTCGTCAGCTCTTCGTTATCTTTGTAGTCACAAGAGATCACAGTCCTGTCTGTTTGTAGTTTCTTTGGCACTTTTAGATGTTAACATCCCATTGGTCCCATGCAGAAAGTTTTACACCTGCAGTTAACTTGTCACTCTCTCAGTCTTCTTTGAAAATTTTGGAATTAAGGGCAAAAACACCCATAGTGTTTCAAGGTTCTGACTCGTTCACATAACAGCATGATAGCTCCAGTTGGCACCTTTGATTGGCATCGCTGCTTGCTTCTTCAACAGCTAGCACCTTGGAAGATTTTATCAAGTTGAAGGCACTACATCAATGCAAGTTGTGCCACTGATAATTGGTTTTAATATACTAATGACTAGGCATCTACACTCTGTGGGCAGGTGAATTCCAAAGATTCATGAACCTTTAAGTAAAGAACCTTTGAACTCATCTCAATCCTTAGTGGTCAACTTCTTATTCTAAGAATGTGAACCTTAGAATCCCCAGAAAGGGAAACACGCTCCCTGCAACCAACTGTTCAAGGCCTTTAGGAATTTTAAATGTTTGAAATGAGATCATCTTTCATTCTTCTAAACCACATGAAAATAGGCCTTATTACTCAAACTCATCATAGTGCAGTTTTGGACTCCCAGTCTGAGGAAGGACACTCTTGCTATTGAGGGAGTCCAGTGAAGGTTCACCAGACTAATTCCCGGAATGGCAGGATTGGCGTTTCGGGAGAGATTGGATCAGCTGGGCTTGTATTTGCTGGAATTTAGAAGAATGAGGGGGAATCTCATAGAAACATATAAAATCCTGATGGGACTGGACAGGCTAGATGCGGGAAGAATGGTCCTAATGTTGGGGAAATCTAGAACTGGGGTCACGTCTAAGAATAAGGGGTAAGCCATTCAGGACTGAGATGAGGAAGAATTTCTTTACTCAACAGAGTTGTGAGTCTGTCGGAATTGTCTCCACAGGAAGCTGTTGGGGCCAGTTCATTAGATATATTCAAGAGGGAGCTGGACGTGGCTCTTGCAGCTACAGGGATCAAGGGGTACAGGGCAAGGGCAGGAATGGGATACTGACATTACATGATCAGCCATGATTGTATGGAATGGTGGTGCAGGCTTCAAGGGCTGAATAGCCTACTCCTGCACCTATTTTCTATGTTTCCAAGACAATCTCTTCATTCCAGAAATCAATATAGGGGGCCTTTGACGCACCCCATCTAAGGGAAATATCTCCTTACTTTGGTAAGTACAACAAAATTGCACACAGTCCTCCAGATGCACTCCAATGTAGTGTATCATCGTAATAAGAATAATGTACTCTCCAAGGCCAATCACTGGTTTCTCTG